GAATTATATATAAAAAACACAAGAGTACAAGGTTATTTGGAAGGGAGAACCAGTGGAGAAGAGTTTTACATTTTGCAATAGGTGAATAAAATTGTGAGAATATGATTCTGCCATAACAAAAAAGCCATAAATTAATTTCCACTTTGCTCAACAAGGCTGAATGATGTGCACTATATCTTGCTCCCATGAAAACTATTAGCATTTAAAGTTATAAACTTTAGCTACTAGAAAACTATCTTATATTGTACAAATTATTTTTCCAGCTCTACTAGACTATAATCATTATAGTACACTATAAGTCTAATTAGATCCTTAAAATATTTTGGCAGTCTTATTTTATTTATATTTATCAACAAAATTGACAAAATTTCACTTAAATTTTAGTGTAGGCAACCAAATGGCCATTACTTGTTTTGATTGCTTCTTAGGAAATGCCTTGGTAAAATAAAGTGACTATTTTGAATACTCAATAATTATTTTGAGCCTTTCCTTATTTATGTTACAGGTCATTTAATTTTTTCTCTTTCATAGGTTCCATAAGTTCAGAAGGACAAACAGAGTGATAATCCAACTGAAGGCCTACACAACCAATTTTGAGGTGACAATAGTTATTTGTAGATTTTCGACTATGTTCCATGCTGCTAGACTGAGTACAACATGTTTGCCCTAAAAATCTTTTCCAAGCCTACAATATGGTCTCTAGTTTTAAATGACGACAAAGGCAGACTGGTAATCAGAAAGCAGGGAATTCAGTTTTGAAAAATCCTTAAAATTGCTTTGAAGTCTGATATAACACTATTTCTTTAAGTATGCTAATGACACATCCCCAAGGATTTGTCTTTAGATAACTCTATTTACTTTTACTTTCAAATTTGATTTGAATTGTATTTACATAAATACATTTTTCTATATACATTTAGCTTCCCAGACCATAAGCTTACTATGAGCAAGCTGCTGAGATTTGTATGAAAGTAGTATGGCTTGAGCTAATGCAAAAAGACTTCAAAGTTTTGAGTGAATTTGCATAGAGACATAAATTATCCAGGATATTCAAAGCTATAAATTAGCTGCAGGACATATATAGCTCTCTCATGGCTCACAGAAGCACAACAATTCTCTTTATTTCACATTTATCTATTATCACGTTTTCTCTAAGAATTTTCATAGGCTCTCCTTTTCTTGCTCTTACTCCGTTTATTTCTATGTTCAGGGTGTGCTTACTGATAGAGGTTGAATTTACAAAATTAAAAGTATTAGACTGCCTGAATGACTATTAACCTCTGTTATTTCCTCTATTCTGCCACACACACACACACACACACACACACACACACACACACACACACAGAGGTTAAAATACACGAAGTATAGGTAATGCCTAAAGTAAAGAAAAAATTAAATTAAAATTTGTTGAGTTAAATTGAACTGTCTTAAATATCTTATTTGTCTACTTGGCTATATTATATATATGCAATATTGTATAATATACATATAATACATATTATATAGTATATAAATACAGATATGTATATATATGCATATAAATCGCAATAGTATATATGATGGCAAAATCTACAAATATTGTTTGGACCAGAGGTCAACATATTCTGATCAACTGAACAAGGAAACAATTTATTAGAAATATATTTCCTTGAAAGTTTCAAAAGAAAAAGAATTTAGAAAAAAATGTCAGTTTCTGCATTTTTAAAAAACACACAAAATCTGAATTCCTTTTCCTAAGTTAACTCAAGACCCTGGAAAAATGTCCTAATGTCCTCTAAAGTGATAAAGAGTGAGAATCTGGTGATGAATAACCATTACAATGTGAATTTCTTAAATATTTGAAATAATTGTCCTCCATTGTTTTAAATGGTCATCCTCCTGTTTTAGCCCCCACCCCCACCCTCTACCCCTGTTGAACTCTCTTCCATTTAAAATACAAGATATTGTTGCCAAACTAGCACATCTTAATCACTAAAATAAAATCAGTTCCCTCTTTTCAGTACAAAAAAAAGTAGTTCGGTTTATCTAAATATGCAGTAGTTCTTCATAAAATGTAGTTTTAAATACATTGTGCAAATATAAAAGCATAAAGCAATAACTTCATGACTAAATGCTATTCTGCCTTTTCATCTTTCCAACATATTTTCATACATATATAACAAGTAATATAGATAAGTGCACACATTGCAACTGATARATTGATACATTTGAATTTTTAATGATATGAATAAACATAGTTGGATAATGATGCTTTAAGTTTATATAAAAATATGTTTGAGAAATCAAAAGGTAATATGAACAATCAAAGTGAGTACACATTTGTTTGGTGCAGGACAGGCTTTACTATGATGTAATCACACATTTTACAAAAGTGTGATATTTAGTGCCTGGGGGAAAAAAAAAAAAAAAAAAAGGACTTTTGTCCTGTCTGTGATATTTATGAGGATCACTTTACAATCCAGAGTTAAATGAAAAGAGAAGTTATAGGAAGTTGAATATGTTGAATCAAACAGAATTGTCTGAAAAGTCCCAAAGAACATTAATAACAATAAGAAAAAGCAAAGAAGGATTTTAGGTCTCCAACCCAGAAATAAGAAATACTTCTCCGATAAGCTGTTTAGCAATAAAAGCATGGAACAAAATCTCTCAAAACCAAATCTGCTCTTAACATGAAATGAAAATATAATTTATCAAAACTGTCCTTATGATGTTGTGTAGAATATGAACAAAAGAACTCCATTATTTAATTTCAGATAACCTCACAAGAATTTTAGGCTAAGAATTCAGTTCTTATTTAAAATACATGTCTTAGAAAATGTGAAAATCTACTAAAAATTGAAAGTCTTGTTATTTATTTAAATGTTTCAACTCAAACAGCTCTCTACAATCAAAAACTTATACCAAAAGGGAATTATTCAGGAGCCCCAAACCAATTTTTTTTTTTCATGTGAAATTATTACATCAGAACAGAAAAACAACACACACACACACACACACACACAAAAAAAAAAAAAAAAAACAAGTTTCAAATAGAGAAAACATTAAGAAAAAGACAAATGAAGAATCAACTAGTTAAGGAAAGCCCGGAAACCCACAACACCCAGCCAGTTGTCACAGTGAATTTAAACAGCCAATCCCCATCAGTGTTTTCAACAGAAGTAAAATCAGGCGCATCACGAAATGTCACCATACCTGTATGCACTTGAAATGACTACGGCACACACGATGTAAAATCTCCCGTCTCAGAAATAAAGCACACTTCATTTAACTGCTGCAAAACCCTGCTGCAGAGAAGCCTAGTATACATTTTTTTTTTTTTTCAGGCAACTGATCCAGCTTTCCACCAGCTCTGTGACCTTTGAACTCCCTTCTGCCCCCCTCCTTTCGCTTCTGCAGTCAAAGCCTGCAAGCTGGTCTCATTTGCATAAGGTTCAGGCAGTCTTCCAGCAGCTGAAACGGAATGCTGGGTAAGGGATTGTGGAACTGCAGTTCTGCCAAGGTACCTGAATCACGGGAGAACAGGGATATGCGATGGGGAGTGGGCACGGTTTATACTGGGCTTTCAGCATCTCATTCCCCCACCTCTATTAATGGATAAACAAATTTAGCATTTGATTCGGAGTCCTGCTCTCACTACTCTCCCCACCATAAGAAGCTGTCTGCAGCTACTGTGGTAACCAAGGAAACCCAAATAGTCAAATACTTCATTTAAATATGTGTAGAAGGCCAATTTAAAATTTTCATTAACTTCTTTTCTTTTGGAGATATAGCTTTTTTAAAAAAATTAAATATGTATTATGAATACAATTAGACCCATGGGTATTTCTTTTTTGTTGTGGTTTCAACAGCATCTAACAGCAACAAATTTATGTTAGGCATCATACAAATACATGAAGTCACTACAGTAATTCCACAAAATGCTAAATATGCTTAAGTGCCTTAGAGACCATCATCCTAAATGGTGTTCAAAAATTAATTGTAAAGAATTTAGTTCCCAAGATGTCTTTAAAAGAATACACCAGTAAAAAGGTAAATCAAAGTTTATGTATTTAAGTCTAAAAATTCACAAAACAGTAATGCTTCTCTGTCTTTGGCAAAGATTTTCAGTGTTGTGCTATTATTTGCTAGAACTATTTCTTCCCTTGTTTTCCTACACACAGTAATTTCTCTATCTGAAACATAAAGTTCTCTATTGCTTATAACCTATGAAGTGGTTATTTTCTAAATAAAGGTCATAGGTACATATTTTGATAAATATACCTGAAAGCATATATTCTCCATTACTAAATGGTGAACCAATAGAAATATGCATCATCACATAATTAATCCATTTCTGTTTTTAAAATTAAGCTAATTTGTTTTCTTCCATTTGTGAATGAATAATGTCTATGAAATATAAGGTTTTATGCACTAATCTTTTCCAATTGTCAAAGAAACATAACTCAGAAAATAAAAGACACAAATTAATAGACAACATTACTAAAGTGTAAAATTTTAATGATCTCAAAATTTCCTTGTTTAAAAAATTTTTAATTAAATATTTTAAACCTTTTCCCAGTATACTCAAAAACACCAATAAATTCTGAATGATTTATCCTCTAATTTATATGACATAAACTATTACAATGAGGAATTTTTAATACTGGAAAAATTAATTTGAAGCTTTTTACTTGAGCTATTTATCAATAGTATTCTGCTTTATATAATCTCTGCATACATAGAAGATTAAAAATTATTGGATGAATTTTTCCTTAGCCATGAATTTTTAAATAGAATAAATAACTTTTCAGTTTAATATAATGCTATTGACATTATTCTGTTTTATCTTATTCCATCAAAAATTTAAGCATGTTGGGTCAATTCAAGTGCTTCCTTCATAATACATATTACGAATATCTTGCAAAGTTTTTGTTTAAGGCAAAACACACATCAGCTTATCCTAATTTAAATTTAATCTAATATAAGGAAGTGTTGGAGAAATTGATGAAATCACTGACCTGTTCAAATAGCTGTAGTCTTAGTCCTTGCACTCTTTATTCATTAGAATCCAAAATAAATTGATTATCATTTTATAATATGTGCCAGTATCACGGAAGGCACTGTCCTTCCTGGTTCAGCGGAATCTTCTTAAATTTCCCAGCCCTGTGTTTTATTGCTGGTACCATATGCTTTATTGTTCAGCGACAAGAGCTTCACTCTGCACAAAGACTCATTACCTACTGCTTGCTGCACAGCATCAGCCTCGCTGAGGCTGCCTATATGTGATCACATGGAGTTTTGTCTGAGAAAGCCAGGCGTGCCACTGACTCCGCTGTGTCTATGGATATTTTTATCAGCTGAGGTCTACTAGGAGGAAGAAATAACAGATTAAGAAGCTGCTCTAAGTCAATAATGTAGCACAACTTATGGAAATCCCTGCAGAAGATTTATTATTATTATTATTGTAAAAAATGTTTAAGCAAGCATTCAAAAAAGTTAACTAGATTTTATTTTAATAGAAACTGAATAATATTTTAAAGAAGGGGAACTTATAAAAAGCTATTTTCTACTTATGCTTTCTGAAAGTACTGTTGTACAAATGTTATTGAAGAGCCTAGCTCTAATGGATGATTTGACAAGGCATTTTAACCTTTTGATTGCTGGCATTTCTTTTTCTTGGAGGTTTTTTTTAATCCTATAAGACAATAAGAGCTTATTCCCTCAATATCTCCTCAATAAAAATTTCAATCATTGAAACACACTATATATGAATAAAAATGGATATACTAATTCCTTTTGATAAGGTAGATGAGAGAGTGAGTGCTTTTTATTGATGTATATAAATGAGATAGATGACTAATTTATCTTCTCAAAAGATGACACATTCCTAGAACAGCTGACTTAAAAGAACAATGAAAATTTCAAGTTAAAGATCTAAAGGACATATGGTTCATATTAATTCTTAAAATTGCAGTAACTTATTTTAGACAGCTTACTTCAATAAAGCATCTGGTTTAACTTATCTGATTTCAGTGCTAACAAGTAGTTTCAGAGATGACTTCTCAATATTTACAGGAATTTTCTGTTACATAGATATTGTATTAATAAATTTACAATGTGTGTTTCTGTGAATTGTCATATTATCTGTCTAAAAATATTTTTAAATTACCTAAATTAATTTCTTAAAAATTGAAAATGGATTGTAAATTTCCAATTTTTTTTAAAAAAAGTTTAGTTATTAAAATGCAATGAAAAATATCTATTTCTTATTACTCTAATAATCTGCCTAAAATGAATAGGTATTTGAAAGGTTGTTGCATGTAAGTCTCAGTGAAAATTTTGCATGGCATACATGCAAAGTGCAATAAAGAGCAYAGAAGGAACAGTCAGAAGCTCCATAAATAATGATCAGAAAGTAAATTTTCTGTATAGTAAGATATACAGTGCATTTTAATGGTGCCTAAATAATTCAGTAATTAATCTTTAAACACTGAAAAAAATATATATATAAAAACATATATACACATACTTAAGCCTTTGGTCAATAAGAAATTATTTTTCTGAAAAACATTATAATATAAACATTTTATCAATTAAAAATTTAAAAGTAATTTTAGTCTAGAATAGGCAAATGTGGTTAAATAGCTCAGTTTTGAAACACAATGATTTAATAGTTTTCTTTATAATATTATTTGAGGTGTTAACATTTACCCAGAATGTCTCAGAAGTCAAACAATGGGTTTTTTTTTAACATTGAAAGAATTATTCAGATGTTTTAAATGCTACCACTTTAATGCATTTGTTTTAAAATGCTTATATTTATTTTCCCCTCTGCACACAAGAGCTATGCTGAAGCTACAAAACCTTGGGGCATTAAAAGCAAAAAGAAACCAGTGTTTCTAGCTTACAGCATACCTCTGGATTCTTAAAGACATGTACATTCTAGTTAATATCCTTGATGATGTCATCATGCTAATGTACAAGGAAATAAACAAAAGGCAGCCATTTTTTTTTCTTACTGCACCACTTCAGAACAGTGAAATAAAATGGTTCCAAATGGAAGGAAAGAATCAGGAGAAAACCAAGTGATTTCTGATTATTGAGTAATGTGCGTTGGGGAGACAAAAGGGTGTAAAATTGGAAAGAAATACACATGTGTAAAGTTTATGTACATATATGTGAAAAAAACAAYTTAACAATAACTAACTATACATAGATATAATGACCGTAAAATTAAAAGAAATTACCAGTTGAATAGAGAATCTCCAATGGAAAGACTGTACCTATTAAAGTATTAAATGTAAGAGACTGTTAAATTCATTAATGTGGAAAAATATATTTAGAGGCAGACACCAGAACTAGAAGGATCTAGGAAAAGACAGAATGAATCATGAAATAGTAATAATCTTCCCAGGTCTACTATTGTCTTAAATGACCTTGGTGAGTTATTGCAGCATCTAATGGGTTAGATTTAATGTCTGAAAACCAAGAACAGGAAATCCTTTGAAAAGTATTTCATGGAAATATATAGCAATATTTTTAAACCTCAATTCTCTGAACTAGCTAAAACAAGCACTGTCAGTTAATAGTAATAAAATGAAAAGATATAAAGTTTTAATGAATATTTAAAATAATTTCTAAATGAGTTAATACCACAGAAACATATAGTAGATAGAACTTTTGGAAAGAAGATAYGATTATTTTTTTCTAATATAGTCATAAAAAAAGAGAAATACATTTAGTAAATAATGTGAAATTTCATAAAATTACCTCAGGATTAAACAACAAAACATACCCATCTATCCAATCAAAATTCTGGAATTCTCTCAGCAGCGCAGCAAGAGAATTGCAGCAGAGATTCTCACATTATACACTGAACAACCAGGCCTCTGATTTATATAACAATTTCATCAGCCAAGTGTTCTTTAAATTTGAAATTAACAAAGAAACAGATCACAGTTTAAGGAAGCAAATTACATCCAAGATTGAAGGACGTTTTAATTTACTTTACCATATTAAAAGTTGTGAAAATGTGAATTGGATAGAATACTTAAACTCTTGATGTTGACTCTTTTGTGGCAGTGGAGATTGAATCCAGGGCCTTGGGCATGCTAGGCAGGTATTCTACCACTGAACTACCTCCCCAGGCTTGATGCTTATTAGCTTGGTTTTTCTCTACAGGGAAATTGGCATCATAGAATCATTCCCCTTTCCTACAAAACAGCCAAAACTTACCAGAAATAAAGTAAAATATTTGCTATCCTGTTCCTGCAGAAACACAGACATGGAAATTATACTAAATGAATGATCTCTTAAACATTCTACTTCATGAAATAATATTTATTGACACTATTGCCTATGTTTCCTGGAGCCATATAAATTGATATATCCACCAGTACACCTCCTGTTGGATTCAACATAGAACAGGCTGCATTTCATCCTCCTTCACTACAAATTCAGAGAAGTCAGTAAGCTGGCCCAATCAGCCTCAAAATCCAAGACCAATTGGATTCAACAAACATTTATTGAGACGTTTCCATGTACCAAACGGTTGCTAGGGATATAAAAATGAAATATGAACTGTTCCCAAGAAGATTACAGTCTCTACAGTGAGAAGAAAAGAAAAGAAATGCTGAGCATGTTATCAGAAGGTGGTTATGTAGAGACTTGTTTTCAAGTTTGAATATTTTAATAACTGAATGTATATTTTATGGAAAATCAATACTTTCTACTTTCTATAATCACCTAAAGTCAGAAAAATCATTGCTATAATCAAATATCATTTATCAAATGTCCAATTGTAAATTTTCCTTTGAATCTTATCATCTAAGAGATAGTTTTTCTCTCAAAATAAAGCATATATTTGTAGCTATTATATTTTGCTATTCTTGTATCACTCTTCCATCAAAAACTAGAGTCCAATATCTTTTCCCTTTAATTTGCAGTTGGTCTTCATGATTTGCTTAATCATCAGAGATTGCTCAAGTGATGTTCTGGATATTCCAAGGATAGTTTCTAAAAAAAAAAAAACTGAGGCTTTCACTTTGAACCTCTTGAAACCTTCTCTCCAGGATCCCTGAGCTACTGTGTAAATGGACTGGTTTCCCTGAGAAGTCACCTCTGCTCTCTGGGAGAAAAGAGAATTCCTAGCTTTAAACAGATAGTTTGAGAAATACACAAAAACAAGGACAAGGAGCTTTTCCAACTATCATGAGAAGAACTCTGAGTTGCATGACATGAGATTTGAGCCACATGCTGGGATATAGAATTAGCAAAAAAAAAAAAAAAAAAAAAAAAAAGTCTGTTTTTAGAGTATCCTGAAGTTTAAGATGAGGAGATTTTTACTACATACATAAGATGTCTGAGGTCCCACAGGATAAGATATGAGGTATGGTCAATATAATGCCTCAAGACAATGTCAGCAGTGGAGGAGAGGCTAGCCAGGTAGAGCAATGGGGAAGCAGCAGGTGTATGATAAAAAGATGGGTAGTACTGATGAAGGCCCGAACTAGAGATGATGACTGAGGAAAGAGTAGAAAGGAAACCAGAATAAAGAGAAAGAGGACATTTAAAAATCAGTTCAATAAACTGGCCTCTGATCTCACAGCCTTGAAAAGTCAATGATTTCAATGATTCCGCTACCCGTTAGATCTAAAGTAGAGACAACTAAACTAGTTTGGTTAGATTGAATAATTACGGGTATTTTGAGTTTTACTGGTCTCAGTTTCTCAACTTTCAAATATTGTGGAAAAATAGCTATCATCAAATATTAATGTGATTGGGAGGCTGGTGACTTTAAAAGAGGACMTTTTTAAAACAAGGAACATGGAGGAAACTATTTACATTTTCTTCTAAGCTAGGGGGTTAGTGTAGAGAAAGGAAATATATATGCAAAGATAAAAAAAACAGGTAATTCTGGATAGTGCAAACTAAGACTTGAAACACATACACAGACACTCATGAACACACACACATACACACCACCATTACCTGTCAAAGTAAACAAGACTACTAGAGGTTTATTCTTTTGATTTTTCATTATATTTAAATATAAGACTACCAAAGCAGTCGATGTTAATTTTAGCACCCTGTGAACAGCCACTCAGAACGATGCAGGTTAAATAGTAGGAACAGCTCTATAATTACCGCCACAGCATGTACAATATGTACATAAATCATTTGAATGTGGCTGTAAAGAAGTCTCTATGCAAAGTAACCTGGAGGAAAAGATATCCTGATTTCTCCCACCCCACTCTTCAATCTCTGTCAGT